ACGGCGTGAGTAACGGGCAGAACAATGACGTTCTCTTCCACTAGAGGGCAGTACAACCACCTGCTCTAATAAATGTGTTGCCAACTGGCAGTAAAAACAGAAGAAGACGAAGAAGAACTTAAATAACAGTCATGGTGTGAGACGATGTTTAAAAAGAAAGTGTTCAGTCTGACCTGGTCCTGGAGAAAACGCGACCCAGATGAAGGCCCTAGCATGAGTAGTGGTCAGAAGGAAGCAACAAAGGTATACTGGGACAAACCGAGCCAGTTCTGCTATATTTGGTGGAAGAATGATCCGTATGGTTTTTGACATGTCTGTTTAGTGGAGTGCTGCGGGATTTTTCTAATGTGAAATATGAACCATGCCTCTAAAGCCTGGGAAACACTGAAATGTATAATTCAATCAAATGTATGTATTGGGAACTTATTTACTGGAAAATGTGGTAATTCCAGTAAAGCCTGACATGGATGTGTACATCCATCCGTCCCAGGATTGGGTAGATGTGGCGCCTAGAGCCTATCCTAGCGTTCCCAGGCGAGATGCCCCCTGGAGCCGCTCCCAGTCTGTCATGGGGCTAACACAAAGACTTTCACACATACGTCCAATGATGCATGAAGCAGGAGCACCGTGCATGGGGAACATGTAAGCTGCACACAGAAAGGCCGCCACATGGCTGAAGGATTGAAAGCCAGCCATAGTTATAATAACAGTAGAACACGAAAATGTAAGGAAGGTGTATACGGGTGTAGGATGTGGGGATAATAATACTAAAGTCCCACCTGGTAAGCTTTGGTTTTCATTGCAATTACAGCATTAACAGGAACCATGAGGACCATCACAGCCACTCCAGCCAGCACAGACGGACCCAGGTTCTGCACACACGACAACAAACTGCTTCAGTGCAAGCCTGTGGTGCATTATTCACACTAGTGGAACCATCCTTCCACAAGCAGAGCGGCACTTTAAAAACAGATTTTGTTGCACTTTAGAAAAGGAGAAACCAGCTGTAACTGACAAGCATTACATTAAACATCATCTGGAACAATCAGGCTTCCACAGCTGCCCAAGCCTCATGAGCTGAGCCGACACACAATAGTACGTTTATTTTCTTTATATTGAAAGTATGTAAGCAGCATTAAACATTTGATTTTAAAAATATATTTAACGTTTAGTTTACTTAACCTGACCTGCCAAAGAAAGTAGAGGGCCAGGACCACCTGCAGAGGAGCAGACCATATCATGTTGATGTACGTGATGAGATCCATGAAGCGCTGCGCATCCACTGACATCAGGTTGACGATTTCTCCCACTGTAGAGGTTCGCCGTGCCGCGCTGCTGATGACCAAGGCCTGAGGAGCAGATGAAGCGATGACATAGACTTTTCAGCAACCAGTGATGGACAGAATAACAGTCAGATGGTTACATTTATCAACCTTCATCACGAAGAATCTAAATCGCTCTGAAGAAGCACTTGTGTTTGTCCGTTACCTTCCTATAGACGGCTCCAATGACTGCAGTGCGTAAGCGCATGCCTGACACAAAGCATACATGAAAGTACTTCTGCAGGATGAGTGACTGCACGGAGGTGCAGACGAAGAGCAGAGCAGCGTAGAAGTAGCCCTGCCAGGAGGGGGCGCTGGAGTCATTGACAAACTGGATAAGCAGTCTGCAGAGAAACAGGAAACAAAGGAACATTAAGCACCCTGCCCCTCGGTCCTTATTACAACTGCATCGTGTACTCGTGTAGCAGAAAAACACGGAGCAGCCCAGAGCAACACGTCGCACTGTCTACTGTTTGTCACCACAACCTTCACACCTAGAGTCATCATGTAATCATATCCATTTATTTATACAGCACTTTTCACAGGATAAAACCACAAAGTGCTTCACAGTAATATAAAACAGAAATACATAAAATAAATAAACACACAGCACAAATCTAATTAAAAGCTAATCTAAATAAATGAGTCTTAAGCTGCTTTTTAAAAGAATAAATACAGTCAAGTCAAAGTAAAGATGGAGGGAGAGCACTCCACAGCCTGGGGGCCACCGCTCTAAACATCTGTCTCCTCTGGTCTTAAAACGAGTTCGTGGGACTACCAACAGCCTTTGATGAGAAGATCTCAGGCTGCGAGAGGGAGTGTGGGGCTCTAAAAGATCAGAAATGTAAGCAGGGGCATCACAAGTCAAAGCTTTAAAAGTCAGTACCAAGATTTTAAAATGAATTCTGAAGTGTACTGGAAGCCAGTGTAATGAGTGTAACACTGGTGTAACGTGCTCTCTTTTTGGTGTCTTACTTAAAAGCCTTGCAGCAGCGTTCTGGACTAACTGGAGACGCTCGAGATTCCTCTTGCTCAAAGAAAAATACAATAATCTAAGCGAGAAGAAATAAAAGCATGAATAACTCTTTCTAACTCAGACAGCAAAGTTCGCAGTTTGGAGATGTTTCTTAGCTGAAAAAGGCAGCTCCTAATTAACTGTGAGCGTGTTGTGGTAGGGATATGGCAGAACCAAAGATCACACCGAGGTACCTGAGGCTCGGCTGAACAGATGAGCCGAGAGAACCAAGATGCTGTTTGATTAGAGATATCTGGTTGTCGGGGGCAATAATTTAATGAAATGTTGGTCTTTCACCAGCTGGTTCACATTTGCAGCTCTTAGATTTTGTGTTCAGTTCAGAGCACCCAGCCTTCTTAGGGTAACTGAGTGGGTGCTCCACAGGGGACGCTGCAGTCCCACTGGGAGACCTGACGGTGAGACCTGGAGGTGGAGTCCTATCAGCTTTGGGTAGCCCGTTGATGGGTACGGAGCGCCAAGCGGAGCTCGACTTGGCGCTGAGCAAAAACTTGTGTGGGAGGAGTTTGTTGAGGCACAGCAGTCCTGGCAGAGATATATTTAGTGCAACAGATGGGCTCTGATGTGTTTGAACAATTAAAGTTCTAGAGCATGATAAATGCACGATGCAACTTCAGACAGATCAACGACTCAATGTCATCTTATCAAAGGGTCTACAGTTTCCTCACCGCAGGATCTCAGGGCCAACAAACATTAGGATGTCCTGGATTAATTTATAGATGCAGGAGATGAAGAAGTAGGGCCCAAACGTGAGGCACAAGGCCCACAGCAGTGAGGGCTCTTTATTTTTCTTTTGAGGTCTCAGAATCAAGATCTCAGACTCTTCCACAGCTTGGCGCTGAGGGTTTTCACTGTGGGGCACTCGCTTGGACGAGTACAGCATTTTCTCCTCTGACCTGTGAAGAGAAAGCAGAGTTAACCTGGCTGGATGTTTCCCGAACAATCTGCATTTGTATAAAGAAGTCTGATCCCTTTCCTGACCTTTTAAATTTTTGGCACTGTGTGTTCCAGCGTTTGACCAACTGTGGGACGACTCTGTGGGAGCAGTCCTCAGCGTTCAAAGACCACAGGTCCTTCTCCTCCAGTGGGCGCCTGTAGCCTGTCATCATCATTCTGGTGGAGAGGTTAGGACAGGTAGGAGGATAAAACAAAACATGTAGAAGCTCAATGTGCAGTAACGTTTCCAGAAAGCCCCAAAGGACCATGTAGAAACCAGAAGTCTCAACACAGAAGACGTCAGCCGTGTCTTAAATATCAATAACAAGCTCCTTCTTTAGAGAGGATACCGACCAATGTGAGATTTTGTTCATCAGCTTTATTACACAGAAATAAGAGCACGTTCACCGGAGTGGAACGGCTTGTTCCTACCTGGTGATCCACCAGAAGGTTATTCTGGAGAGGAAAGACGCTCCAGGCTCAGGGCACGGATTCTGCAGACAAACATCGAGCAGTTAGACACGATGATTTCCACGGCTCAGAAGACAGCAATGCTTTCACTGTACTACCAAAAGTATTCGTCTTTCTCCCTCGGCCCACCGTTAGCAGCTCTAACAGCTTCAACCCTTCTGGGCTGACTCTGCACTGCGAGTGTGTTTATGGGAATCTTTGACCGTCGTTCCTGAAGGTCAGACACTGACGATGGATGAGAAGGTCCAGCTCACAGTCTCTGCCAACTCATCCCAGAGGGCTTCTGCTGGGTTGAGGTGGGACTGAGTTTGGTGTGGAAGAACCTGACAGGCCTGCACACTGGTCTTTATGGACCAGTGCACAGTCACGCTGGAACAGGAAGGGGCCATCCCCGAACTGTTCCCACAAAGTTGGGAGCATCAAAATGTGCAAACTGTCGTGGCTTCCTGAAGCATTAAGAGTTCCAGGAACAACGAGCTGATTTGGAGGGGTAAGCGAATACTTATGGCAATACAGTAATCTGAGTATAAATGAGTGACAAGGAAAGAAAGAGAGATTCGTCAGGCAGCCTCACAGAGTCTTTAACTTCCCGGGAAAAGAGGGGTGGCTGGTCGGTCAGGCTGGACAGGAACAGAGCAATCAGCAGCAGAGCATAGTAGATGTAGAAGGTGGTGTACCTCCACACACACACTGTCTGAGGCTGCACAACAAGAGCATGTTTTTAATCAAACAACCTTATTTTGTTTATTTACTGCAACATCAGTTCGATTAGTAACCAGTTATTTCTCATCATGTAAGTAAAGTGAGTCCTGCTCAGTGAGCACTAACCTGCTCCAAGGCCTGGAAGACCTTTGACCTGAAGGTGACAGTGGCACACAGCAGTGCCAGCAGCCAGTAGATCAGCATCACCCCCGATGACTGAGCCCCCTTCATCCGCTCATAGTGGATTAACATGACAGCCAACAGCTGCGGCACAAGCACATATTTTATATACTAAAAGAAATGGTCCATTTAGTTTTTACAGCATATATTAAAGAGTCAAGTGACAAAAGAAAGACTACCCTAAATAACAAAATACATGTAAACTTTTCTCAGCTCCGTAAAGAGACGGTAGAGACAGCTGGACGCTCACCATGGTGAGGCCCAGTAAGGTCGGACTGACGAGGCGGACAGGTGCTGGGCTGCTCACATGACTCCTTTCCCAGAAAGAATAAAAGACATCTGACCAGCAGATAATCCAAAGTAAAAAGCCAACAGCCTGTGGAAACAGATGAAATCGCTCCTGGATTCGTTGGCAAATACATTTGGTATTTAGTTTATAGACATATGACTGACATCTCCCACAGTTACTGTAGTGACAAGTGGAACCAACCAATGAAACTACAAACACACCGTTCAGTCATTAAAACAGCTAGATTAGATTAAACTGTGATCCTTGATAATAATATCTTTGGGTAGCAGAACATCAAATGTTTAAACTGTGAAAACACGCAATTGAAAAATAGATAATGTCATTATGACTGTGATAGCAGCAATATAACGTGGTACTAATATCATAGAGCTGCAGGACCATTTGGTACCAGTCAGGTTAACTGGTAACAGGCCAGTAACACGACTGTCCCCAGCCTTCCTCCTGGTTAGGACAGGCCCAGAACCCTGGACAATGAGCGGCCCACGAGGCATTCAGATACCAGGACCCCCTCACCTGCCTCTGCTCTGAGTCCCTCCTGAATGACTGAATTCAAGAGTCCAGCAACAGGCCTCAGCTCCCAGACGCCTGCGGACTATTTTTAAAAGAGGGAATCCCACACAGCGGGAAACATGGACGTTTTTAAGAGATGTGTTACTTCCAAAAAAATTCAAAATGACCTTGTTGTTTTTTAATTGTACCTTTTCCTCAGTTTAAACATTTGTTTTTCTGAATAAACGAATAAAATGATTTCATTCAATTTTCCACAACATCCCATTTTCTTGAACTTGGAATTGCATCATGACTCGAATCTTCAAACATTTGTGTTTGAACGAGTTTCTGCTTTGCTCCACTGACAGAACAGATGAGTGCAGTGATGAAAACTACTACAGCGGGCTCCCATAACTCACAGTTTTGGCTTTGTTGAGGTGAGTCATACATATATATCCATGGTCATGGGTATGGAGGTAGACGAGGTAAAAGGGTGCACATATCCAAAGGTAGAAGCATGGCAGCCACACCAAGACAGTGTTCTGGAAACACTGGGTGAAGTCGGGATTATCGGTGTACCATGTACGGTTCCAATCCTGGAAAAGGAACAGTAAGGCTGAAGACATCTAACAACAGCAGGAAAAGACACTCCTGACACACATTACTTATGTGTGGCCTGGAGTTATTAATATAGCTTTCTTGTCTTATTTAGATCAACAATGTTGCATTTTACTGCTACATGCAGCTGAAAAAATTAAAATGAAAAGAAGACCTCACAGTATAGGACAGGGGTGTCCAACTCCAGGCCTCGAGGGCCGGTGTCCTGCAGGTTTTAGATGTGTCCTTGATCCAACACAGCTGGCTGAAATGGCTAAATGACCTCCTCAACATGTCCTGAAGTTCTCCAGAGGCCTGCTAATGAACTAATCATGTGATTCAGGTGTGTTGACCTAAAATCTGATCTAAAACCTGCAGGACAGCGGCCCTCGAGGCCTGGAGTTGCCCACCCTGCTATAAGACAAACTCAGTTAAACAGACAATAACAAGGCAACTCCCAAAAAGGTTTTGTAGGTGGTGGACACAGACCACGGCCCTCTTCTCAGCAGACGGGACTGATTTTCCTCCATTTTTATTACCAGATGACACCTACAGCCCAATGACATGTATTCCAGCTCATCCAGGATGGCATCTGTATGCGCCACTGCAAGAACGTTTGCTGCATCTCAAAACTGTAGAGATGCTAGGATAAGGTCTAATGAACTCGAAGAGCTGGAGAGAGATGCAGAGGAGCAGGAAGTATAAAAAGCACGTCTGTGGCCACCACCAGTGACCCTTCCCTTTTGAGGCTAACTTGTCATTACTCTCTAGTGGACTTATGACTCTGGTTTGGACCAAAGCAAATCAAAGTGAGAATATGTTGTGAAATGGATTCACAACAGTAGATAGAGTTTATATTATACTTTAATGATGGAGTGCTATTTTCAGTGTCCCTACCTGGAGGCAGTAATGCTAAATGGACTGCTTCTGATATCGACCCAGAGCTTTTCCACTCTGAGCACTCAAAGCTTCACACTTTCACCCAATCACACCAGCACTAGTTTTTAGTGCTATCTAACTAACATTCATACACACTCACACTCCGACGGATGCATCGGAGAGCAACCTGCAACATGCAGAATGAAGCAGACTGGGATCAAACCACTAACCTTCCAGTTGGTAGATGGCCTGCTCTACTACCTGCTACAGCCGATATCAATCCCTCCCTGCTATGTGACAGGAGCCTGACGTAAAAGGTTCGGCAAACAGTGAAAGATGGTACCCAGTGTTACCTGACTGCAGTTTCAAAGTATGGTGACTTCATGTCCCGAGCAAACAAAAGAAACCATGACCTACGTACCAGCTGCTGCCAAGTCCCATGGCAAAAATATAACCTACCAAAGTCATCAGCTGTGAAATATTAATAAACAGCAACTTTTTATTTTTCTTATTTCAACTAAACATAATCCTCAGTTTGATCACACCAGTCACAAACACATACCTGAAACTAATAAAGGATGGAGACAGATCGAATGTGCTCAAGTTACTAATTACAGCCAATCATTTTCTGACAATACACCAATTCACTGTAAAATCATAACGGTTGTTATATGCACAGCTATTCCCCCTCAGAAACCTTCCTGTTCTGTAGGATGTGTTTGGTAGACGCACCATGGTTGCTGTTGTCGGTGCCTGAGCTACCAGTCAAGCTGCGTGATGGATGCTTGTTTCGGTTGAGTTTAAGTTTCTCAGTTAATGTCATCTCAGAGTAGCGGTGCATGAGATGAGCCCTCCTGGCCGTAGTATTCCCACAGCATTTTATTTTATTGAACAAAATACTGATACTTGGCGTTTCTGTATCTGCTGTATCAGCCCCCACCCCCGGGGTACACTCCGTCCTGTGGTGTTACTGTGAGCAGCGCTCAGGACGAGCTTCCATGTTGTGGAGGGAATCAGTTGGTAGTGTGATGATGTCACACTTGTACTTGAATTCTTCATGATCCGATTGCTCGCCCTGTTAGCTAGTTCAGGTGCGTGTGTGCTGTTAGCACCTACTACATGCCTGCTGGTGTGTGAGGTCCTACCCAGCTCCATGTGCCTGGGGCTCATCCCTGGAACTGTGCTGACTGCTTTGCTACATCGATCCTGGGCCACCTCTTATATTGCCTTGCACACTCTTTGGGCACTGGCTGCTTTTTCACTGCAGTTCTGGTTCCAGAACCAGCTTCAGGTCAGACCCTTAGGTCCGTCATTACCGGCAGGCTCTGACATGTCCTCAATAATGGCTTTAAGCACACTACCACAGTGCCACGCGTGGGAGAGAGACCACAGGACACTTAATAACATTCGCACTGTGACGTTTGAGTGTGTACTGGGACTGATGACAACGAGTTCCTACAGACCAGGAAACGAGAGGGAACAACACAAACACGAGCTCGTGAACACTTGTTCCACTGCGAAGCCTTCATGTTCAGATCAGAGAACCTGTGAAACGGCCAACGGAGGCTCAACGATCAGCTGTAACGATGACTTCTAATAAGAGAAGCGCGTCCGACGTGACTAAATAACACGCAACCTGCCGTGGCTTACTATTAGCACGTACCGGGCACCGGCAGCCAACGCCAGCTACGAGAGTTTACAGCTAGAGGAAAAGACACGGAGTCTGTGACAGGTAACTCACCCACAGGGGATCGGACCTGTCCACGCTACAGAACTGATCAAACCCCATTCGCTGCGAAGCATTAGAAAAGCCGGGGCTGCGAGCTCAGCTTGTTTTGTAACGCCTGTTAAGACGAAGCGGAAGGTTGTTCTTCTTCTTCTTCGGTAATTCAGACACTCGGCCCAAACGTCTACACTGCCACCTACAGCTTCTGTAACGTTATGGCTAACTACGCTACGCCATTTGTGCGGTGGGATTGCTGCTGCGATAGTTACAGGAAAAGAACAGGCCGTGTGACTCGTGTCATTACATAGAGCAGACAGTTTGGTGCTGTGCAGTGCAAGCAGGTGTGCCTAATAAAGACTTTACGACCCAGATGTGTGTTTGTGCTCCCAAAACTGTATATTCACAGCAAGAAAGACAGAAAAGGTCATCATTAAAACGATCCCATGTTACACCAGCTGTGTCTGGGAATGTGTCTTAGAAATCACTTTGAGTACTCATCTGACGAATATCACTTCATTCACATTTCTAATGTAGCCGGGTGGAAAATGGGAGGGAAATGTTTATCTTTTCCTTTCCACTAGTGGGTGATGTTTTAAGCATTTTCTCTGGTTGTAGTAGAGAGTGGCTGGTTTTCTAATGTTAAGACAGTACCTGCTCCAGCACCATATCTAAATGCAGGGGTTCATTCTAACCTAACCAACTGCCCAAAAAACTACAAATACCTGGACAGGAAACAGGAAGTTCTTTTGTGTGTAGATGCAGAGGAGGCATGTGATATGTTATGGAGAGAAGGATTTTTGATTAAAATAAAACAGATGAGTGTCAACAGTAAAATGCATAAATGTATAGGTGGATAAGAAATTTCTTAGTGTTAGAATTAAGTTCAAATTATCAAGTAGAAAACAGTTCTCTTCAAGGCAGTATAGATATTTACTATTATGCTCAATGATATTTTTAGCAGTACAGGTGAGTCTGTGGGTATCGCAGTATTTGCACATGATGGGTTTATTTGGGAAGAAGCAAGATTAGAGGAGTCATTAGATTATCAACATACTTCAAATCCTCATAATAATCTGAAATTATATGAGGATGCTATAGAAAGAATATATTATTTTAAATATCTAGGAATATGGTTTGTTAAAAAACTGACATTGAAAATGTTTTTAGAGTAAAAAGTAACAAAACTCCTGTTTCTGTGTTACAGGTCAGGATATGTGACATGTTGACATCAACGGGTCTTTTAGACCCCATTCCTACAAAACAGCTTTAGTGAAGGTTGCAAATGATCTTCTTATGGCCTCTGACAGTGGACTCATCTCTGTGCTTGTCCTGCTAGACCTCAGTGCAGCGTTCGATACTGTCGACCATAATATCCTATTAGAGCGATTAGAACATGC